AGATGTGCTGCACATATTATAAATTTAGCAGTAAAAGCAAGAATGAGTCATGTTGGAAATGAAATCAAAAAACTTCGTCAATTTGTTGTTAAAATCAAGAATTCACCATTATTTTTGGATAAATTATCAGAAATTTGTACCCTTAAAAAAGTTAAATTTCTTAAACCAATTTTAGATATAGACATTCGCTGGAATTCCACATATTTTATGATTAATAGACAAATCTTAATGCAGGGTGTTTCAGAATTACTTGCAACAACAAATGTTGAAGAACTTGGAGATTTATTTCCAACAATATCTGAATGGCGACATATTAAGGTATTTTTTATTTTATAAATTATTATTTATTTTATTTTATAATTATATATTTATTAATTATTATTTTTTTTTTTACAGGAATTAGCAAAGGTATTAGAACCTATGTATGAAGCAACCAATTTATTATCATCATCAAAAAATCCTACACAAGGTGATATAAGATTGGTTTTTAATGGAATGTTTAAAAAATTGGATCATTATCAAAGAGGAAATCATTATACACAAAGGGCAATAGCATCAGCAATTTATAATAAATTGAAAGCTTATTGGAACAAATATTTGAATCAATCTTCCATTACTTCTTCAATATTAGATCCATACTACAAAACCACATTATTTAGTCATAATGATATAACTGAAATTATTAGTAAATTACAAGAATTATATTTGTCATATTTACCCTTAAATAATCAAACCATACCATCAGCACCAGCACGATCATCTCGTGATTATTTTCTTAATTTACTTAATCCAAATAATATTCGTCAAGAAGTATCGCATGATGAATTAGATCAATACTTAAATTCTCCAGTAGATAGTAATACAGGTTCTTTAATTTGGTGGAAAACTTATGAAAAGGATTACCCAGTACTATCACAAATAGCTAAGGATTATTTAACAATCCAAGCAACGTCGGTTCCATCAGAAAGGGCATTTTCAATTTCGGGATTAACTATTTCAAAAACTAGAAATAGGTTAGATCCTGAAACGGCAAGGGCAATTATATGCATGAAAAATTGGATATCAGAAAAAGAAAGAATGGAAAATTGAATCAATACTTGCAATATGTCTTTTTTTTTTTCCTTTTTTTTTACATTATATGAAATTTTGTTGGTAATTTTTTTTCTTATAATAAAAAATTTTTTGACGATATACGATATATTTAAATTCATGATCTGCATTACACAATTTTGTATAAAATACTATAAATATCCGGTCTAAACTTCGGTCTAAACTTCAGTCCAAACTTCGGTTCAAACTCTGGTTCTAAACCTATAACGGTTCGGTTTTGTACTCAAACCACCAGTTTTTGGACCGAAAACTGGATGGAACGAACCGTTAACATCCCTAATCACGTGGGCGTTATGTTTAGATTAACCATATAAATAAGTCATTTGAATTGTGTAACCCTACTCCTATTCGTCGCCAATGTTATACAAGACCAAAAAAAGGAAATTTTATTTCTGGCGAAAAACTGAAATTTTGAGTTACGCAGAATTCCATAAAAGGAAATTGTCAGTTACACAAATCTCCAAAAAAAGGAAATTTTGTCTTCTGTTACTTTTCAGAGAAATTAAAAAAATTGTGTTGCTCAAATTTCCAAAAAAGGAAATTCTTTGCAGATCTTTTAATTCTGGCCGGAATTACATATTAACTGTTGTCGTAGACAACAGGTGAACACTAGTAACTATTAATAAACTTTCTTTCTTTAAAGAAGTTATATCAAAAGGACAAATATTTGCAATGTAATTTATAGAAAACAGTTAGCAGTTATTATTTTTCTAAAAATTTACAATAAAATTAACAAATAGCATTTTATAAATATGTTAAATAATATAATAAAATAAATTAGGCTTATTTGCCTTATTCCAAGAAAAAAAATAACATTTACAAAAGCTATAATGTTCCAATATAAATAAAAATACTTCACCTATATAAAACTAGTATGAATAAACTTAACTTGTGAGATTAACTGCTTTTTTTATGTATGTATGTCAAAAAAATTAAAAAAAGTAAAATTTTTATACATTTTAATACAGTCAAACCTTGATATAACGAACCCTTGATATAGTGAATTTTTCAGACAACTATAATAAATTTCCCCTTGTTATAACGAATTAACCAATCAAATCTCTTAAAATCTTCACTATAGCCCTATAGCGAAGTTGAGGTCTAGAACCTAGGGTTTGTTATAACAAGGGTTGACTGTATATGCGTTTAATTTGTGCAATAATTTTTTGAGACATTAATTCTAGTAATAATAATCAGATTGTATAACCTATGAGTTAGTCCTTCCATTTATTTATTTATTATTTAATCCTTAGATAATACTATTTATTAATAAATAGGAATTTGCTATTTATCGCCAATAGCGATTATTATCAGTATCATGTGATTTTTTAATTTTAGCCAAAATTAAATGATCTATATAGAAATTGCCTTTTTTGAATTATATAATATTACTCAAATTTTTTAAAAAAAATATTTTGGGCAAAATTATAAAATTTGACCAGAATTATGATTTGTAACAAATAAGTGTAACAAATAGAAGGATTTTTCATGCTAAAAAATATTAAGTTCTAAGAATACATAATAAAAACAAAAATAAGGAGAGTGTAATGTGGAGTGACAAATTATATATTATTAAAAATCATATGATACCAATAATAATTGCTTTTAGCGATTTATAGTAATTTTATTATTAATAAATATTAAAGCTAAAGCTAATTTACTCTTTTTTTTACTATATATTATTATAGTTTGAACATTATTCCAGTTAGTTCAATTCAATAAACAACTATTTAAATTTGCATCCCAAGAACTTATAAACCTACAAAAAGTAAAAACGTTTATTAGTTAGTAATATTTTGTTAAAAAAAAAACAAAAATTTAAAGAAATTTGAAAAATACCTTTAAAATTTCTTTCTAATTACCATTCAAAAAGCTGCAGATCTACAAATTACATTTTTTTAAAAATCTTTATTTATTTATTATATACTTATTCTATTATCTAATATATATTTATTAAAACTTAATAACAATTAAATTAAAATAATTAATTTTTAATAATAACTATCAAAAATAAAACTACAATAATACCAAAATCTTTACTAATATTTATAATTACAATAACTACTACCAAATTTAATATCACAATAAAAGTGCAAATTTATCAATTTTTCTAAAAATTTTATTATTAAAAATAATTTTATTTACAAAACAGACAAAAGACAATAAAATAATTTACTTAGAATAATCAAAAACTATAAAACAGAACCTGTTCTTTTTATAATGCATAATGATCTAACAGCTGGACATTTTACTACAGTTATAATGTTCAAAAAAATATACTTAAAGTATTATTAGTCTCAAATGTATGAAAATGTATGAAAATATAAGAGCATATGTTCAAATGTATGATCAATGTTAAAAAAAAGAAAAATATAAAAGAACAGAACTATTATATCCTATACAGGACCCTGGACATCTCTTATAGAACTCACAACTGACTTTTTGCCAAAAAAGACCCAATTTGCTCTTTTTTTATTTTCCATTTTTGCGATTATCTCAGCATCCAGTGATCCGATTCATGCAGATTTTTTTTATTTTGTAGAGCTTGATGAGAGCTACAAAACAAAAAATAGTTTGTATAAATTGGACCACTGGATGCCAAGATAATTGCAAAAAACTGATTTTTTTTTTGTAAAATTTAGGTCAATCTGCGAAAAAGTTACCCTCTGAGTTATATATGTAATGTCCAGGGTCCTTCCTATACCTGCCTTTGAACTTTTTTATCAAATTGAAATAGATATAGTAGGATCTTTATTATACTTTAAAAATAGAAACAAATATATTGTAATGCAATGGATTATTTAACGAAATAACTTGAAGCAAAAGTCTTATCAGAAGTTACAATTGCTATCTTTATTTATAAAAATATTATTTGTTAATATGAATATCCTTCAAAAATTTTGTCAAATAGAAGATTTTACTTTAATAACAAGATGATTGAAAGTCTTACCTAATGATTCAAATTAAGCATCATTTGTTTACTTCTTGTTATATATAAAGTCAAAATTAAAAGCCAAAAATCAAAATATTTCTTTTTTTAAAAAAATGGCAAAGACTGACACAAGTTTGTTTATTAAAAAGAGATTATAAATACAGAAAAATCAAATAAAATAAACTATCCAAGACGAATCTACAGATCAACCCCATATCAAGTGTTTGCTAATAATAAGGCCACTCATAAGAAACCATAAAAAAGAAACACCCTGCTGACAAAATAAAATGAAAAAAGAAAAATCCAATCAGTCTCAAAGTATATATGACCTCTAATTATTTACTCTTTATAAATGCACATCCTTTGTAATCGCATGCTTTATCCAGTCCTAAGGGGAAGTGCATTTATAGAGAGTTGTTTGTAGAATCATATTTATTTATATATGGAAGTACTGGATTAATACTTTTTACCAATAGGTATACCTTATTATAATCATACCATTGGGTGGTCCTAAGAGGCATAATTATAGAGGGGTTTACCATATAGCTTCTTCTTAGCTTCAGGGTAAAAGACTTTTCTTGTCTCAGTTGTTAGAACTCTGAATGGATCAGGTCAGATCATTGGACCGGACACCGTAAGACATAACCTGACCTAAAATAGGTCATAGATTTAATGACCTGACCTTATTTCTACCCTTTCTATTCTCCATTTCAATATTTAAGTGTTCACGCGACAAACAGATCTGTCCTCTCTGGCGTATACTGTATATATAAGAAACAAGTGTGCATATCTACGTATCATCCCAGGTACTAAAACAATGCATGTACATCAATAGAATCACTATAAAAAAAAATTATGAACCTTCCGAAACTTTTATTTTTCGTTTATGAATAAAATCATGCATATTACTATTGGTAGCATTGCCTGAGAATAAAATTAGTTCAAGATTCGTGTCATTCATTGGTAATGGATGGAATAGTGATTTTATTAATGATTTTAAATATAATAATAATCAATCATAAATGAAATACTACTGAATTTAAAAATATAAATTAGAAACCTTTACAACTAATGTTACAATAAACATTGCTTAACACATTCATTTTTAGCTCTTAATGATCTTCTTAAAGTTTTACCAGTAGAACTCTTTGGAATTTTATCGATAAAATGAACACAATGCAATTTTTTATATGGAGCAACTTTTTGAGAGACAAAATCCTTAATTTCTTCTTTTAACTGATCAGATTGAATTTTATCTGGTTTCAATTCTACATATGCTAACGGATATTCAGTTTGTTGTTCATCAGAATATATACCAATTACGGCGGAATCATTAATTGATGAGTGAGTAAGCAAAATTGATTCAAGTTCAGAAGGAATAATTTGAAATTCCTATATTTATCACAAGTTTTTGTTAGAAAAGCATCTAACATAGATTGATAATTGATTATTTGTTTCGGCTTACCTTATATTTAATTAATTCATTGAAGCGATCAACAATAAAAAAGTTTCCTACAAGACAAGTTGGTTTTTTTTATAAATTTAGTTTATTTTAAAATTATTTTTTTTTTTTTTTTTAGATAAATATATTATACCTTGAGGATCAACATATCCAAAATCTCCAGTATGGAACCAACCATCACTATCAATACACGCTTTCGTAGCTTCTTTATTGTTAAGATAACCCTATATAAATATAAATAAATATATATACCGTATAACTAAACGTACATATTTAATTTTATTTTATTGATTTTAAATCATAAAAAATTTACCTTCATAATATTTGGTCCTCGAAAACAAAATTCACCAGATTCATTATATCCAAGTTCTATTAATAAATTGAATTTTTTTATTTTTAATTTAATTGTCTTTACTTTATCATAAATAATAAAATAACAATTACCTTTATTATCTTCTGAAATTACCTTACATTCCATGTTTGGAATGAGAACTCCAATCGAGCCTAACAAAAAAAAATTAAGATGAGAATTGAGGTAAATGCGTAAATATCGCGAATAACAAAAAGATCATGTTATCTCTCAATCTACCATCGACAATTTCATGAGTTTTCATCGCAGTTGCAAATGGAGATGTTTCAGTTAAGCCTAAAAGAAAAGAAGAAAATATTAAATTTCGAGTATAAAAGAAAAAATGTATAAGTTCCAAATATGTACCATATGCTTGCTTGATTGGAACGTTATAAGTTTCAACAAATTCTTTACATAAATCTCCACTAAAAGGAGCAGAAGAACTTATAATTAATTTTAAACTTGATAGATCATATTTTCTCTCTATAGGGTAAAGTATAGGTAAAATTTAAATACAATGGTTGTTTAAAATAATGAATAAGGTTATGAAAATTAAACAATAGCGAGTAGATACAATAATGATAAAATCTATACAGTAAAAGCAACGGAAAATTATCTCTACTTTAAATACCTTTTATTAAACTGATCTTATTAACTAAGAGCAAAATTATAGGAGGAACAATTGGAGCTATATTTACTTTATAATGTTGAATTATACGACAAAATGATTCCAATTCAAATTCCAATTTGCAAAGGATAACACATGAAGCTCCCTTGAAATTGTAATGGAAAAAAAAAATCGAAATCAAAAATGCGAGAAGAAAATAAATTAGCTTGTGACAGAAAGAATGAAGACAAAACTTTTTGTATAGACCTTAATAATAATAAAGTGTATAAGAAAGGTTAATCCGTATATATGGAAAAAATCCTAATTTTTAAAAAATTATATATTTAATAAAGCGGTATAAGTACGTGTTTTTTCTATTAAAAAAAACGAACTATTACTTACGTGAGATCCCATAAAAATATTTTCATGATTTATTTGGTCTTCAAAATCATTTATTTGTGTTAAATTTGAAACCATATTAGAATGTGTGATTTCAATTCCTTTACTCTTCCCTGTAGTACCAGAACTATAACATAAATATGCTGTAGTTGATTTTACTTCTTCCGGTGTATATTCTACTGGATTAATTTCTTGATCAGAAAGTAAGGATAAGAAAGGTAGAAAACCATTGATTTCATTTTCGTCGAATAAAAATATTTTGGATTCATGAATATTTGCTATTTCTGCGGCCTTGATAGCTTTTTTAAGATAATCAGGATGACATATAATAACAGATGCACCACAATCTTTTAATTGAGAGGCAAATTCTTTAGATGTATTATTTGGATTGACCGTTGTTACTATTCCTCCTAAATAAAAAAAAAAGTTAAAAATTTTGGACTAAAAAAAATATTTGGATCTTTTTTATGATAAATTTTGTTTACCAGCTGCAATTGCACCAAAGATAACTACCGGATAATCGATCTAAAAAAGAAAAAGAAAAAAAAAAGTTATAATATTTATTTTATATATACCACAGAATAGCTATCACTTACATGATTATGAGAACATATTGCCAAAACATCTCCACGTTTAAATCCGATTTTATTTATCAATCCAAATGCCAATTTCTTTGAATTAGCTTTAAGTTGACCGAATGTTAATTTTTTTTCGGTTAATTTTTCATCGATTATACCATTAATAAAAATAATTTCATCGTCTTTAATTCCATGAAGATTACTAGTAATAAATTGATAAATTCCGATTTTTTTAATATCAATATCAGGAAAATTGGATTTGAAAATCATTTTTATATATATATATATATATTCTATAAAATACGATTGATTTCAGCAAAAAAGAAGTCCAATTTTATATAAAACATTTTTGATTATAAAGTTCCAAAACAGTAATTTCTTATTTTGATAAATCTATCATGTGTTTAAGAATTTCGGAATCCAGACTCAGGTTCATAAAGTAACTTTTTCCTTATTGTGAATTCTATTTTTTTAATGAGATTACCTAAATTATAATTTACTAGACGTACAAAATCATATGATGTTGTTACAATATTTCGTTTGAATAATGAAACGCGGAATTCCATCGTAAATAAAATGAATAACCCGCTGGGGAAGCTCATAGATTGATAATGATTGCGGAGTTCCAACTTCCAAGCATTGTAATTAAAATGAATTGGGTTATCATTTATCAATGTAAATTCGTTGAAGAAGCTCATATAGATTGTAATGATTAATGCATGTCACTATTATTACATTTTCGTGAGATACTATATTTTTTATATTAAATTTTCACTTATCAAAGGATTTAATAATGTTGATGAAATTTTTATTTTATCTCATTCATCTGTTGCATCCATTCAAAGAAGAAATTATATATTGGAAATTGGAATTAACACACGTACACATAGTATTGGCTGGCATTATAGATCATGTGATACTCCTTCCTCAACTTTGATGTGAGTATTAAAAAGTTGCAATACTGACTGCTCAAATTATAAAAACCCGAAATACATACAGTATATAACAAGTAGTAAATTAATTAGATCAGAATAGTAAATCTAAGTCTATTTAAATTTAAGTCTAGTTTTTTTTTGTCTATAATAACCTATTTAAGTATTAACCTCAAATATTTTTTTTTTCTGTATAATTTTTTAGCGAGTTTTCACTATAAAATTTTTTTCCTTTCTTTTTCTCTTGTTGATATATGTGCGTGTGTATTTATAATCAACGAATCCCAAGTTTTTTTTTTTTTTTTAACGCGATATTCTTATCCTCTGATTCAAATTCAAGTTATAGTATAAATTTTCCACGTGATAGACAGATCTGTGCGATAACGGGTAGACTTTTCTCTTTTTGTCTTTTTGGCGTAAAATATATCGAACATATTGTCAAAAAGAAATATATTGTGTGCATATCTACGTATCATACATAAATTTCACAGGTATCAAAACAATGGAAACACAACAATAGAATCACTATAAAAATTTCTAATCTAAAATTAATGAAGTCATTTTACATATTTTCTTTGTTTTTATTTTAATAAAAAAAATAATAAATTGTTTTCTTAAAACTCGTTCGAATAACATATTTTTAAGTTATTTAAGGTTTTAACCGAAGAATTTTTAATTCGTGTGATGAGCAAATAAAGTAAATAAAGTTTATCGAGATATGATGATTCATCTAATTCATCTAAAATTAAACATCGTTTTTTAATTGGTTAAATTACGCGAAACATCAAAAACGAGTCGAACTTGAGATCGTTTGCGTTTAAACCAAATCTGAATAAGAATATATATATTTAGTAAGGTCATACTCACTACGCAATACTCATGTAAGCATGGATAAAAAAAAGCCGCACATCATCATTTATTCATTTAAGTCAAATTTCATATGAAAAATACGCAAGAGAATCCCTCATGACCCTACAAGTAACAAAGCTAGTAAAAACTCCCAACCAAATACGGTATATTTTTTTTATTTTCGAATTGTAATTACCCCAAATGATGAAAGTATTTAAATTATTGTTATTTGAGTATGTATGCCACTGAGATGAATATGCTCTACCAATAACTGTATTAAAATGCAGACTCACAAGATCATGCAGTTATTATTTGATCTCGAAATACCATTATGTTAGACATTTAGAGTCATCCGTCTTTGTATATGTTGTACTATAAATACAGTAAGTATGCTATTATCAGCTATTATTTTGGCAGATTTGTAACACGAAAGAAGTAACCCTTTTTAACGCGTTCACACCTTCAGTTACGCGGAATTTTATGAGATTTGTACAATATTACTAATGTAAAAATTTTGCACAGATCCCGATAAATTCCTGTAAATTCCATGGGAATCCCATCACTATTCACACTGAAGTAAATATAGTAAACACAGCCGCAAAATAATTATGCTGAGATTAGATAGTGATATTTAAAAAAAGAAAATTGACAACGATATTTGTTTAACTGCTGAATAATCGATGGGAATTTTCAAATGATATGAATGTTCTCTTGCCTAAAAAAAAAAAAGATTATTGATTTGATTTACAAGGTTAAGGTAATCGACCCAATGATATTGTTGACGGTTACTAATGTAGATTGCACGAAATGGTGTCACATGGAAATCAATTTAACCTAAAAACACTAATATTTAAAAAGAAAGATTTTTCTAATCCTGGGAAAAAAAAAGAAACATGGAACCTCCCATTATTTTACATCATTTTGAAGGTATCTTTTTATTTATTCTAAGATTTAAGCAAATTAGTCTTATATATGTATAAATTAATATATAATATATATATAACTCATTATTTTAATTAAAATTATTTCTATTAAATATTTTAAATATTTTTTTTTAAAAAGGGTCACTATTTTCTCAAAAGATTGTATGGACATTATCCATTAAAAAATTAAAATGGACTTCCGTCATCGTATCTCCAATAAATAAACAGAGACCGTAAATATCTTAATAAATAAATTTTATTTTTTTAACAAACATCAAACATCTAATTTTGAAAACATCATAAATATAGATTATTGCAGCTTTTGGTTCATGGATATAGACGTGTTCCGATTCTTCAAATTGGATCAGATATATTTATTGATACCAAATTGATCATGGAAGAATTGGAAAGAAGGTAGAAGGGGGGGGGGAGTTAATATGATAATAGGTGTACAAAATTTATTTATCCCAAAAGTGTTAAAATTTTTTATAGATATCCGGAACCATCGATTTTTCCAAAAAGAAATGGATCTGATAAAAGTGATAAAGGACTTAGTTTAGCTATGAGTACATGGGTGGATGTAAGTTTATTCTGTTTATTCTTTTACTTGTACACATTTTATTGATCGATTAATTATATTTATATACATTCTTTAATCGTAATCAGAATTACATTTTTAGCTCCACGTTTATTTTATTACCAATCGGTTCAAAAGAACCTTCTAAACCAAAACTTTTCTCTACAAAAGAATTTGTAGAAGATCGTTCATCATTAATTGGGGCACCAATTAATGTCGAAAAACGGGCATCAGAAAGATCGTATCACCTTGATAAAATTAGAATAAGTCTTGATTGGATTGAATTACAATTTTCAGATGATAGGGATTGGTTTTTAGATACACCATACCCAGGTATAGCAGATATTCATGTAGCTATGAATCTTTGGTTTTATGATATTCTTCAAATAGCAAAAGAGGTAGCAAATTCAAAATTATATCCGAAAACTTATTCTTGGTTAAGTAGATTTTTAAAATATGTTAAATCGAATGGAATTAAACCTGAAAAAATTAGTGGGGAAGAAGCATTAGAAGTTGCTAAAAAATTTAAACCTTTTAATGGAGGTAAAATGAAAATTGAACAAGATCCAAATGATATTAATAAAAGAAAATTAGGGGATAATGTTATTATTGTACCAGATGATTATGGTAAAACTCCTGTTATAGGTAAAATTGTTAGTTTAAGCAATAGTAGAATTGGAATTAGACCTCATGGTGTGGATAAAACAGGAATTGAAGTAGTTACATGGTTTCCTAGAGCCGGATATGTGATCAAACCTGATAATGGTTTAATCGGAGTTGGGAAATTATAATTACAAAGTTGTTGTATTTAGCAATATTTTATTATTTTATTACAATGATTTACAATGATTACAATGATTACAATGATTACAGTATGTAAATTATTTATTGAGCAATATTTTTTATTTTTAATTTTATTTTTTCATAAATAAATATATTCATAAATATTTTTTGGATTCTTTTACGAATCATTGTAAATGCATTACTTGCATTTAAAATGGTTATTCATAATGTTATCCTTTCCTATTTTTCCTATTTTCACTATTTTCGTGATGAATGACAATTTGACCGGTCACTATGCCAAACTTGTCAGTTGGATATCCGAGGATAACCATTTTAAACCGACTTTAACCATTTCTAACCGACTTTAAACCGAATTTAACCATTTTCAATCGATTTTAACCATTTCTAATTGACTTTATCCATTTTCAATCGATTTTATCCATTTCTGATTGACTTTATTGACTTTATCCATTTTCATCCATTTCTATTTCCCATCTCCCTATACAATTATACAAACGCGTCAAATATTTATCCCTTAAATGGTATTTTACTTAATAAGGAAATACGCACTTAATTTTAGGTTGTAAAAGTGGTTACAAATTGGTTGCAAAAGTGATTGCAAAAATGGGTTTTATAATGAATGAGTCAATGACAAAAAAATTACTATAAATAAAAACGAGTTTTTGAAACAATGAAACATAATTTTTTGAAACCATATAAATATTAGATTTTTTTTTAACTTTTTTAGAAATGAAATTAAAAATAAAAAGGAAAAACTAAAAAGGTAATTAAAAAAAAGTAATAAATAATTATGTAATAAAAAATTTTAATAAAACAATAATAATTAAAATAATAATAATTAATAACAAAAATTAATCAATTAACCAAATATATACGAAATTTCCTGTAGTTTTTACTATTATTAGTTTAGGGATTCAATTCAATTTTTAATCGATTTGTAATTTGTCATTAAAACACACTTTCAAAATTTCTTTAAAAAGATCAATTTTTTTTTTTTTCAACTCCTAAAAGAAAGGCATGCAAGGACATGCATGCATGAAAAAAAAAAAAAAAAAAATGCAATATATAAATAAAGAAACCAAAAGAGTAAACTAAGAAATAAGGATCCTTTTTTCGGTCCGATAGATTTTGATACAAATAATTAATTCATAACATGGTATTTTAATACTTCTAAAAGTGGTAGTTTACCGTACATAAATATTATGTAAAAAAATCCAATTGTATTAAAACTTGTAAAAGTTCCGGTTGACAAAAATTTCACATGATTCCGAATATTTTTTTTTTTAACACAAGGATTCTGGGAAAATATCAAAATATCGCGTTTTCAACTTTTACCACGATAACCCCATCGATTGGGTTTATGATTTTTGTTAACCAAAAATAGGATTTATGTTACAGAAATAAATAATAACATCAATTATAAGCTCAAAATTCGTGTAATGAAGGAATACATTCCGCGTTATTTTTATGACTCCTTTGTTAGAAACGGTTATTCACCTTGTGATCTTTCTTGTTCTGTTTTTGCCCACCATCTTTTATTTTCCCTTGTGATTCTTGTGATCCTAAATGTACGTGATGTTGTGGTGTTGTGATGTTGTGGTGTTATGATATTATGGTGTTATGGTGTTGTGGTATGATTATGGTTTTATTATATTGGCAATGTTGCCCCATTAACATAATATAATATCCGTATTGTTTATATTATATCTGCGGGTATCCAATGATTAAATATTCGAATTCTCATTTAGAAATATTAAAGAAGATCTTTATTTAGAATAATATGAAGAAGATGTAAGAAATGTAACGATTACTAAATATAAATTTCTAGTCAAAATATAAAATGATTTTAAATGATCTGAATGATCATGTACTTATAAACTATAAAGTATATAAAAAAAAAACTAATTATAAATTTTTTATTATTATAATAATAATAATAATAAATTACTAATTAATATTTTGATGACTATCAAACAGATCTGTCACGAAAATAAACAACACGTAGTTTTTTTTATTGTTATATTTAAAAAAAAAAAAACAATAACGCATGTATCATTACATGATTTATTATTATTTTTTTCGGTGTCACTATCTTTTTTATCTTTTTTTTCCTTTCTTTTCTTATTTTATTATTATTATTATTATTAATTATTATTTTTATATTATTATTTTTGTTTGAAAATAATTGGATGATCAATTGTTTTTTTTTTTTACAAAGAATTTTCGTTTTTTTTTTATATATTGTGAATTTGAATGAACTCTATTTAGAAGGAAGCCGATCATCAAATTATTTTCAATAGCCAGTTCGTGCATTATAATAAATGAATATGATTCGATAAAAAAAAAAAATTTTAAAAAGTTCCCACGCAATTTTTTTTTTTTTATAATCTCTTTAATTTTGATAAGATTCTTTTTTTAAAATAAATAAATAAATAAATAAACCCAATTTAAATTAAACTAAATTAAATTTAAGGGACGAATCGCCACTCAAACAGGAGAAATTTTTAATAATTCCGATTTACGCAAATTATAGCTAAAATCGGTTAAATACCTCATCATGTGATATGATATGCAAATTTTTTAAAAGATTAGTAATAGCGGAGTTTTGAAAGTCGCTAAAAGTTTCCACGTCTTCGAACTTTCACTATAGAGGAAAGTAAAGATTCTCCGATTGTAAATTTCCAATCATTTTGACCAAAAATAAGTTAATTTTGGTTCTTATTTAAATCTTTATTTGGTCCCTTTATTTAGTTTTAGTTCAGCTTTTATACAGTATTTACATGGTTTCCACCAGTTTTATGTAGTGCGAGTTTTCCCTTAGCCAAAAGGGTTACTGTATACTGTTTATTTTTGTTCATTAAAAAAAGTTTGTATAATAAAGAACATGAAATTCCAAAAATTTTTTTTTTATTAATAAAGAAGCCCGTAAAATTAATTATAGGTTACCAATCATTTCCTCCTGTTGAGCCACTTAAAATTATATATTTATATATATAAAGATTTATTAAAAAAAACGCCCATTGTTCTTTTCGAAATATATACATATATAAAAGAATTATTAAAAAAAAATCCCATTGTTGTTTTAGATTACAATTTTATTCCAAAAAGAGCATAAATAATAATAATTATTATTCATCCTAATAATTTTATTATATTATTATTTGTTACAATCATTTATCTAAAATAAGCAAAAAAATAAAATAAAATAAAAATAAAAATAAAAATAAAATATAAATATACAAAAAAAAAATTATCATCAACCAATTATTATCTTATCTAAGATGATGAACAAGGACGAATTAAATGACGCAATATAAGATCCATTTCAAATTTTAAAATTTCATTGGATCAAAAAGAATCGCGGAAATATTTATAAAAAAAAAAAATTTTTTTTTTTTTTTTTTGGAAAAGACTTGTACTTTTTTAGTAATTTATCCCTGCATTTTTATCAATCATGAGGGCGTTTTAATTACCAAAAAAAAGGAAACGTTGCAGATAAATTAATATTTGGGCGCAAAAAAATTTTTTTTTAAAAAAATTTGCATTATTAAGACAAATTTTATTAATTCGAATTCGAATACAAGTTATACAACGGAGAAGAGCGTTATAATTTGTTGTTTAAAATGACATATTTGTCTCGGTAAAATTGAATGAATGAGTTTGCAGTAATTAAATGAAATAACGCATAATAAACACATACAGTACAAATAAAACATATATGTAAACATATAATAATTCATATAATGAAATTATAATAATGACTAAACCAAAAAAATTTGATGGACAGTATTACAAAAACCCACAGTGTTTCACTACACGGATAAGATCTAAGATTATCATATCAGTTATCATCTAACCTGATAACAGAAAAACAAGTTGTCAAATGTTCATTCATCATTCCCATGCATGGATAAACAAAAATCCAGCTATTTCTATTTTAAGTAATGATTTTCAGCACTAAAACATATTTGGTTAGATCAATAGATTTAAAAGATACGATGATAGATTATTTTTTACTGTGGTCTAATAGGCGTAAATAAATCGGGTAAGTATTTTTTTTTGTAACATTACATTGAACCAATTTTTTTTCGTTATTCTCCCCGTCTGGTTTTAAAAAGTTTACCACATACATTTGCATGAATTTGATATACTTAAACTATCCCTTTTACTGATATCTTATTACATGCAAGTTGATCAAATATAATAAAATTTGTACATCTGGTTGGTTAAATACGGGTGAGAAAATGGTTAGTTAATAAAGTTCTGTTTATGATTTGTCATACACTTTATTTTTCTTTGACCGAATGTCACAATTTTAAAATTTTTTAAAAATTTGAGATATTAAAATATTTGAAATATTTGAAATATTGATCGCACGAAAATTCGAAAATTCTTAGTTTTCATTTTCTTTTACGTTTTTTTTTACTTTTTTTTTTACGTTTTTTTTTACGTTTTCTTTACGTTTTTTTTACGTTTATTTTTACGTTTAAAAAAATTATATATTTTAATTATTATTTTTATTTATTATTATTCTTAATATAACATTTAATACTCTCAAGTCTTTCCAAAATTAAATTTGTTATTACTAACCATTAATGCTTTTCAAGGTCAAAACAAAGATGTATTTAACAAGTAAACAAAAACGCCCTTTATTTAAATTATAAATATTTAGATATAAAATGTGAAACCCCTAATTTTTTTTTTTCTTTTTTCTTTTTCTTTTTTTCAATAAAATAACAAAATGAATCATCATTAAATCCTTTAAAGGAAAAATTAGATTAAAATTTAATTATCTCATATTTTTATTTATCAAAAAGAAAAAAAAAGATTCTTGGAATGTTTTTTCAATTTAAAGTTTTAAAAAATAAATTTCGGTTTTAGAATCTTTATTCGGTTACAAGCCGCGTTTTTTTTTTTTTTACTTTTAATTTTCTTTAAAAATTCGGTAATTTCCGTTCTTTTTCAAACCTTTACAATGAAAATATTTTTTAATATTAAAATATATTTAACTGAAATGATTTTCAATATATTTAAAATATTTTTTAATTTAATTTAAAATATTTAAAATAATTTTTAATATCATTTAATTTTAATATTTTAAATTTAAAATACTTTTTAATTTACAATATTTTTTTAAATTTACGATATACATTTTAATTTACAATATTTTTAAATTTACGATATTTTTTTAAATTTACGATATTTTTTTTAAAAGTTACGATATTTTTTTAAATTTACGATATTTTTTTTAAAAGTTACGATATTTTTTAATATTTTTTTTTAATTTAAAATATTTTTTTAATATCTTATTTTAATATTTTAAATCTACATCGTTTTTTTTTTAAAAAAAAAAAATTTGTCAAAAATTTACAATATTTTGTTTCAGAAATGGTATTCCGTTTCAAATTTATTTTTATTTTTATTTTTTTTGCGTTTTTTGCGCGTTGCAAAAAAAAAAATTTACGCAAAAAAATATAATAGTTGTAAGTTGTAAACGCGAATTTAGAAAAATCTTCTTTTCTTAATACTTCTCATCGTGAAACAATTAACCTTGTAAAACAAATAATAATAATAATAATATATAATAATAAATTAAAAGTCAAGTGGCTCTTTAGGAAAGAAAATATTTATATATTTTTGGATGATTACTGTGCCACTCACGTATTTTATTCACTGTTTCTCATGTAAATATTTAATTGATTGTCAACGCGTTTACATTTCATAAATAAAAACACTTACGTATATGGTCGTATTGTGGTGTATTTGGTGTATTTGGTGTATCTAAGGGGGGAAAAAAAATAGAAAAAAAAGATTAATGATGGTACATGATAACAGTGATTACATGTTGTTGAACTTAATTCGCGTTTTTATTATTAATAAAGGAAATGAATGAAGAATAAATAAAGATAACAAATATAGTTTCATTATCAAAATATTGTGATACCATTAAAAAAATAAAATAAAAAAATAAAAAAAAATAAATAAAAATAAATAAATAAATAAATAAATAAATATCTATGGAATTTTAATAAGCACATCGGGAATAATTAATAATTAATTCCGTTATATTTTTTTTTTTGTAAAGGTTGAACAGGTTGAACAAAAAAAAAAAAAAAAAATTCGAATGAATATTCAAGGGATTACCAAAAAAAGTATTTTGTGCTGCGGATCCAAAATAAAATTCGAACAATAATAATAATAATAAAAAAAAAAAAAAGTGTACTGTATTTAATAATCAGAAATCATTTTCATGCGGTACATTCACAAAATAAAGAAGCATCTCGTCGTCATTCAACTTTTTCACTTTAGTTAAGATCTACCATAAAAATTTTTAACGCAAGGTATTTTTCACGAATGAAGAAGGAAATCATTACGACACAATATTCTAAAAAGGCTTTTTTTTTTTTTACGTATTGTCGTACTTTATGTGTAGTATGTTCGTTGTATGTGCGTCGTATGTGCGTCGTATGTGCGTTGTATGTGTGTACATTTTTAATGATCACGAGGTGTTACTTTTCAAATCCCTGCATGAAAAATAAATCAGTACGTAACGCGTGTTTGTTTATATGCATTAACCTTGTTTGTAAAAGTGTCGTGTCACGAAAATCATGCATGTGATTTTAACTCTTTTAACTAATCAACTAAGAGGACAGGGACAGCTTTTTTTTTTACGAAAAGAAAAAAAAAAAAAAAAAAAATAATCTTTTTATATAATATTTCCAATTTCAAATTATCTAAAGATTCACCTTTTTGTATTACTGTTACACTCTAATTATGAATAACGGGATTTGACAGGATATAATGTTGAGCATGCAATATGATATATATTACACAGCTGTCAACTTTATAAACATTAATTAAATAGAAAAGAAAAAAGAAAAAAGGAATTAATTTGATTTTACCTGATTAAATCAAGTTTAGCTATTTATAAGTAACTATATATACATATATGTATATAAATATTTATAAATTTAAATTAAATTAAATTAAATTTTATTATAATATTATAATATATAATAGTATATAATATATATACTAGTATATATATATTTACAAGTATATTTAAGTATTATAAAGTATAATTACATTATATCATTTTATAATAACATTATATCATTTATAAAAAAGGGGAAGATAAACCTTTGACATTTTATTAAAATGTTACACAACATCATTACCAAAATAACTAAAAGAAAGGGAAAGAAAAGAACAAAAAGAAAAAAGAATAAAAATAAAAAAAATAAAAATAAAAAAAATAATTTTTTTATTATTATTATTATTATTTAATCGGAAAATCTCGTGGAACTTTACCATTTTGTATTGGAATGTGAATCTTATGCAGTGATGTTTACGATGNTTATAAAGTATAATTACATTATATCATTTTATAATAACATTATATCATTTATAAAAAAGGGGAAGATAAACCTTTGACATTTTATTAAAATGTTATACAAAATCATTACCATATTAACAAAAAGAATGGTTTTGTTTTTTTTAAAAAAAAAAAAAATAACGAGAAAAATAACAAGAAATAACAAAAATAACTTTTTTATTATTATTATTATTATTTAATCGGAAAATCTCGTGGAACTTTACCATTTTGTATTGGAATGTGAATCTTATGCAGTGATGTTTACGATGTTTACATCAACTGACATTGTAGATCGATTATGTTATAATGTACCCAAAAGATGATCCGATACGTTTCATTTCCATTTAGATTCCGATATATATATATATATATTTAAAAAAAAAGAGGTCATGAGATTAAAATTTTAGTGAACAATGAAACATGTAACTTTTTCATTCAATCACATGCAAAAAAAACAATAAAATTAGTTTAGGGCTGCGCCATACTTGACATGAGAAAAAAAATTTGGGCGCATCTTTAAGTGTAAACGTAAACGCATGTAAATAAAACAGAGTTACCACACTTGCATTTTTTTTGCCATACTTCAGTAATTGCATATAATGTATTTCTTTTATGAACATTATCTCCAAATGCCCTTTGTTATAAAATTTCCCCAACAAAAAATCAAAAAGAGAAGAAAGAAACCTCTCTTTGTATAAGTTTCCAATTATATTTAAGGTAAAAACGTGACTTAATAATAAGAAACCCGCAGTTGCTTACTTAAAAATAAGAAAGAACGTGGTATTTGGTGATATAGAATAAATCTAATAAGGGTTAGTTAAAGTAGTACATTGAATTACAATTTTTTTATAATTAGGAATGATCGATGATTATTTAATATACTTTAGTTAAATTAAAAAGAGAATTGTTTTTGAAGTCTTTTTTTTTTTTTAAATACGCGTGAGATCAATTTCAAATTCTCCTCGAATCAGGATGAAGATCAAAAAGGAATTTAGGAAGTTTTTAATAAAGAAATCATTTCAAGTAGTGTGATAGTATAGTGATGGTGTAGTGATAGTAATAATGTAGTGATAAGTTGTAGTAATAGTAGTAATATTGTAGTGATACTATCTATCTATCTATCTATCTATCTATATATATATATACTGTATATATACATATAATACATATACTGATATGTAATATATGTATACGGAAAAATTAATGATATATATCGCGCAAAAATGGGTAATTTTTAATATAAAAAAAAAAATATGCTAAAATAATACGCGCTTAACTTATTAAAAGGTATAATCAAGAACCTTAATTTTCATTGAACTTTTGAATTCTCCCGATTATGCACCATTATCTACTGTATAATATAATAAACTTGCGCTATCAATTTCTAAAAGTATAGATAAGAAATCCAATTTATAATGAAACATGGAGTTATCTATATAATATTACTAATTAAGTAGAACTTAATTCGCCTTGTCTAATTACTTTTTTCTCTAAACAATGTCTTTTTTTTTTTTATGTGTATAAAATAGGATATGCAATATAATACAAAATACTTGAATAATACAATAATATATATAAATAATATATATATATAAGTTGATTATCTGATTGGCCCATACTTGGAAAGTTCATACGTGGCACAGTAAGAATTCATTCAAAATATATGATGCAAACTATGCATATTTGTATTCATTGAAAATAATATTTAAAGTTTCATTCGAAATCTAAATATTATATAATTAACACAAAAAAAAAAAAAAATTTATTTTCCGTTTTTATTCTTATTAAGTAATTTTTAAGTGGACAAAAAAAATGAACAATAATAAGTAAAAATCGATATTATTTTCTTTATGTCTTAAACCTTTCTAAAAAAGTGAAACGCGATTTAATCATCAAATCGTAACAATAAAGTAATAATTTTTTTTAGTGAAAATTATAAAAAAGGAAAAGTTGAATAACTTTTTTTAACCAAAATTAAATTTGAATCTTAATGAAATTGATATCAAACAGATCTTATCCTTGTATCAATTAAAAAGAAAAAAAAATGTGTAAGCGCCATAAAGGAGATGAGAGGTTCTTTATGGTTAATAAAATTTCCTATTTGGTTAAGAGGCGCGTGTGACTATTTTATTAAATAAAGGCGCGAGAGAGTAGGCGAAAACCAGTTTCATTATTTAGAACAAACAAACATTAGGATTTTTTTTTAAAAAAATACCAAAAGGTCTAAATTCAATGGCGTAATTGATTTTGCGCCTGACCTACATTACCACCGAATATCAATATTATCACGTGAATTTTGATTTAAACCAATTATATAATAAAAGTGTTTTTTTTTAAACTACTCTTTCTTTAAACGGTCTCATCATTTGATGAAAATCTTGCATACCATATTTGTTTTTCTAAATAATAATAATAGTAATTATAATAATAATAAAAAAAGGAAAAAGGAAAAAAAACAAAATTATTATTCTTATTTTTTTTTTTTTTCGTACGTATGTTTATTTTGATTGTACCAAAGCAACCAAAATAACTTTTTTTTTTTAAAAAAAAAAGAAAGAAAATTTTAAAGAACTTTAAATTTTTTTTATTTTTCTTTTATTTTTCTTTGGCGATTCTATAAATATGTTACAACGCATTCTTGTTTATCTGTTTATTTGATCACACACAACATAATGACACAATGTGGAATATACTCTTGCCGTGTAATATTGTAATAAGTCTAACCAAACTAAGATTTCTTTTATGAAATTAGAAGGTTAAAAAAAAACCTGATGAAAAATTCGTGATACATCTATTTTTAATAATATAATAAAATAAAATTTTTTTTTTTATTAAAATAATTAAATACCTTTTTAAAATATTAGATTCTTGCTTACAAAATATATAATCTAGTTATAATCATCAGTCCAACAAGAGTAACATGCTTTTCGCACGATGCGTACAAAAAAAAAAAAAAAAATTTCCCTGCAATACATCATTTTAGTGCTACTTTTATTATAGTATTAGTTCTGTCTCTTATACACATCTCTCTTTGTATAAGTTTCCAATTATATTTAAGGTAAAAACGTGACTTAATAATAAGAAACCCGCAGTTGCTTACTTAAAAATAAGAAAGAACGTGGTATTTGGTGATATAGAATAAATCTAATAAGGGTTAGTTAAAGTAGTACATTGAATTACAATTTTTTTATAATTAGGAATGATCGATGATTATTTAATATACTTTAGTTAAATTAAAAAGAGAATTGTTTTTGAAGTCTTTTTTTTTTTTTTT